GGCCAGCCGCTGCCGGCCCGCCGCCGAGAGGGGAACTGTCCCGTGGTGCACGTCCCTGGGCCCAGGGGGCTGGCCAGCCAGGGGAGGTGCTGAACTCAATCTCGGGCCCCCTTCTGATCCCAACTGCTTGCTGGCCCAGGCCCTGTGTCCCCGCATCCCTCAGCCATTGGGCCGCGATGCCGTGGGCTTGCCAAGGAGGAGCTAGGAGGGCTCCTCGCAGGCAACAGGGCCTGTGCCAGCAGCCGGCGGCCATGGAAACGAACACAGGGCCTCCAACCCGAGGGAGCACAGAGCTGGCATTTCACTGGAGCGATGAGACGGGGCCATATTTAAATGTCGCCATTGTTAGAAATATGGCCCTGCCTTTAATGCTAATAGACTCGCACGTTGACATCTGAGCTATTGCAGTCACATTAAAGGCAGTTTGAATGCCAGGGAGTGTTCCCGGCTGCCAGGGGAAGGCTCCAATGCGTGCCATTTTCTCTTACCATTGGCAGGTGTCTGGGCAGCGCTGTTTAGTATCAGGTGGTTATAATTTTGTTCTTGGTCATCTGAAATTCACAGAAAAAAAAATCTTTTTAAGAACCGGCTCCGCGCCTCCACCGATCTGCCGCTGATAATTACAGTTCACATTCTTCACAGGAACTATCGGCATGATTAAAGGGAAGAGAAGAAAATGCTTAAGAAAGCAGCAGAGTCTTTCATGTTATTCACTTTAGATTGCAGATGCGAGAGGAACATGCTAATGGGGAACGGCTCCCATGGCAGGGCTGCAAGGCAAGACGTGCCGCTCGGCAGGAGTAAACGAGGGCCGGATTCCAGTCCCCAGGGCGTGACCCTGACTCCCTCTGCAGCCCCCCATTATCCAGGCCCCATGGACAGAGATCCTGGTCTGTGTCCACATCCAGACCCTCTTCTGGGGTTGCTCCTGGCTCCTGGGAAACGCCTTCCCTCGGCCACTCCTGGTCTGGCCATAGGGCAATGGAAAGAGAACTGTCATGCGCCTTCCCCTCCTGCTCCCTGCAATGCACAGCAGCCCCACCCGAGGCAAGGGGCCCCTACGCCTGCCTAGATCAGCATCCTGGGGCGTGTCCTCCTGCTGTTTTAACACGCAGAGTGTCTGGCTGCAGACAGGTTACGGGGTCACAGGAGATGAGTTTGGTGGCGACAGGCCAGCCACTTAACCCCACTGAGATTCCACCCAGGAGCCAGGCACTTACCAGACACAGTCACTGCAAAGGTGGCCAAGAACACGAGCCCGGCACTTGCATGGGACGGGGCGTTCCACTCAGAGAAGCAGCCAAAAGTCCTGGCCCCCTCCCCACCTTTCAGAGTGCGCCAGTGCCTGCGACGCTCCTCAGAAGAGACCTCCCCTGCAGACGGAGTCCCGTGGGGACGGAAATGCTGCGGGACGAGCCCCCCCCAGCATCTCAGGGCAGCCCTTCGGACGCTCCCAGCCAGCAGCACGCGGCATGAGAAACGTAACACAAAACCCACGGCTCATCCCGGAGTCCCCCAGGAAGCCTGGTGCGGGTTTCGCTGGTTCGTGGATTCCGAGGCCAGATCTAAGCTGCAGAGCATTGTGGTGACGGGTCGGACCTCCTGTGTAAAACAGGCCAGAGACTTTCCCCAGCCATTTCTGCCAGATCTTTTACAGTCACCCAAAGAGTTCAGGCGTGGGGAAGGCGCCCCACCCCGAGGGAAGTTGCTCCAACCGTTACTGCCCCTCACTGTCCAAACAATGCGCCTTCCGTCAGCAATTGGCTTTGGTTCTACCTTCTCCTACCGACTCGAGGCAGCTCTCTCTGGCCAGACACCTTCCACCCACGTCCGCACGGCTGTGATTTTCTTGGATACACTAAAGCCGCGGAGCCTTGGGCTGGGCCAGTGCTGTGCAGCCCCTCAGGTGTGGTTTCTGACACAGCGAGCACCCCGCTGGTCACCAGATCCCCCCGCAGCAATCAGACTCAGGGCCAGGCTCGCTACCGGTCTTTGAAAACCACTGGGCCCTGGGAGCCAGCCCTTTAACTGCCCCACACCCTGCCCCTGCGTCCTTCCCCCTTGCTCACGCGCTTCTCTCGCGCCAGCCCCGCAGGAGGGAGAATGGGCCTTTGCTGGGGGTGGAGGCTGGGCCAGGCTGGGCCACTGGGCTTGAAACAAACTGCTGAGTTGCTCAGGCACCTGTGGGTCGGGGCGCCCCTGAACAGCCCCCTCTCCCCAGCCGGCGGGGGAGCTCCCAGTTCTGCTCGGGAGGAGCCAGGGAAAGCAGGCCTGAGCCAGTCCAGTGCTTCCCAGTTGGCGTGGGGCAGAAGTGACTCGGGGGGAGCCTTGGGTGCTCTGGGGCCATGCTAGAGTGGCTGACAAAAGGGGCGAGTCCCTGTCAGATGCTTCATCCTGAAACGGACAATCAGCCCAGGCCACTTCCAGGAGACGTCTGTGCCCGAGGGCCTCATCCTGCCCAGCGCTGAGCAGCTCCCCTCTCAGGTGCCTGAGCCCCGTAATCCCATGGACGTCACTGGGCCACACTGTGAGTGCGCCGCGGCACCGGCAGCCCTGCTGACAGTGCTGCCTGCAGACTGAAACGGACAATCAGCCCAGGCCACTTCCAGGAGACGTCTGTGCCCGAGGGCCTCATCCTGCCCAGCGCTGAGCAGCTCCCCTCTCAGGTGCCTGAGCCCCGTAATCCCATGGACGTCACTGGGCCACACTGTGAGTGCGCCGCGGCACCGGCAGCCCTGCTGACAGTGCACCCTGCAGATGTGCCGCCCCCAGCGTTCGGCCCAGTGGGAGCAGAGGGGCCTCCGCCTCTTGCGGGATGAAGCTCTCAATAAGCAACTCAGATCAGCCCATTTCACTGAGCGTCTGGGCTCTGAAGGGGGCTGACAGCCTTTCAGCCTCACTCTTGACAGGCGAGGATCTTCTCAGCTCCTGCGGTATTGATCTGAGCTGAGAAGGGAGCGCGTCTGACAGTTCCCATTTGCAGCATAAATCACTCAAGGAGGCTTCTGATTCAAGGTCTTGAACTCCCGGTAATTGACGAAGAAAACTTTAAATAGCCCCCAAAGAACCCACATTGTACTTTCCCTGCAGGCAGGCAGCCTTTCTGGGGAGAATCTCTTTAGGTCGCTTTTTCCTCTAGGGCATAATTATACAGTTAATGTTTGCCATGTGTCATTGTTAGTACAAATGGATTAATTTTGCTCTCCAATGGAAAAATAGCTTCCGCAGGGAAAAGGGGATGGGTGATCAGCATCCCGCGCAAGAGAAAACATAATAATCCAATCTTCTAAAAATTGGAGTGCTAAAATATTTTAATGCATGTCAAGTATCCTACAGATACCCAATGTTTCTGTAAGTTATACAATATTTTGAATGTTAGTTTTATAGTATTTAATGTGTGTAATGCCTCTGGACTTTTTATTGCAGTAGGGGGACAGTGATACACACACAGACAGTCCCAACCAGCTTCTGCTTTGTTGTTTTCCCTCCTGTCTCCTTTCCTGCTAATCTGCTCTTTCCAGTAATCTCCACACCCTCCCATCACCATTTTTTTAGAGATTCAGAGAAAAAAATTAACAAGTGGTTTATGATGACAAGATAGCTGCTTGGCACCAGCATAGACTGATTGTAAGTTCCTTTCAAGTGCTCGGATTCCATAGTGCTTATGTGTAAGAAAGCTGCTTGAAGAGGAAGAATTAAATCAACAGTTAGGGACAAAAAGCAAAGCAGCCTCAGAAGATAAGAAAGAAGAGCCCCAGCTAAACAGCACTGGTAGAATTTAATAACAATATTTATAACCCCCTGCGGTAACAATGCACATTTGTGTTTTGGAATTCAAGGCAAGGAACCCTGAGGCCTGGGTAGAAAATCTATTTTCTCTCTGTCTACTGCAGTGGATTTATCAAGTCCAGCAGTGAGTTTTCTCGGCAGAGGAAGCATTAAGAGATCTTCCATTAAAGAAGGGTGATTTTTTATGACGCAGGCCATTCATGTGTCTCTTAATTACAACTGATGTCCAAGGACTGTAGCACTGTCTGAGTCACTAGGCAGAGAGGTTCATGGGGTGTCTTATTTTGTTGCTGCTACTGTGCAGTTTAGGCCTTACATTGATGCTGCAGACCAGGAAGTGAGGAACGCTTTATTAACCAGGCCTTACCCAGACTACAATGACACGAAAAGTTGACCACAAACGAGGCTGACTGCCTTGAGCATGTGCTCAGTTTGCCAAATTAAAGCCCAAGAGGGAGCCAAGGGTTTCACTGGATCCCACATGGCCTGAGCTACACTAGAGCTTCTAAACATGTAGGTTGGGGTGGATTAGCCAATATGTTCAAACATCGCATCTTCAATTCCTAATCATGGCGAGGCAACCGGGAGCAGGACAGTGGGGCTGTGACACAACCATGCAAGCAGAACCCGAAGGAATGTTTTCCTAAAGCTAGTGGGAAGGGGGAGAGAGCCTGGGCATGTCTATGTGAATACAGTTTGTTCCTGCTTTCTTAGATGTTCAGCAGATGGAAGGGTATTTTGCTCGTTGTAATTAATTTAATTTGGGACCCAACCCCAGCTCTGTTTCTAACATATGCAGGGAGAGCTAAACTATGGTTTACTACCAAGGTTTGTGGGAATGCAGAAAAGCAGGACTGTGCTACATTGTCCCAAAGGGAAGGGCTCACAGTTAGTAGAAAGAACCTTACCAAGCAGGGATTGGTGATGGGGAGGTGCAGTGAGCAGCCAGCGGGGTGGCAATGGGGCGGTGCAGTGAGCGGCCAGCAGGGCGGCGATGGGGAGGGGCAGTGAGTGGCCAGCAGGGCGGTGGTGGAGAGACGCAGTGAGCGGCCAGCAGGGCAGCGATGGGGAGGGGCAGTGAGTGGCCAGCAGGGCGGTGGTGGAGAGACGCAGTGAGCGGCCAGCAGGGCAGCGATGGGGAGGGGCAGTGAGTGGCCAGCAGGGCGGTGGTGGAGAGACGCAGTGAGCGGCCAGCAGGGCAGCGATGGGGAGGGGCAGTGAGTGGCCAGCAGGGCGGTGGTGGAGAGACGCAGTGAGCGGCCAGCAGGGCAGCGATGGGGAGGGGCAGTGAGTGGCCAGCAGGGCGGTGGTGGAGAGACGCAGTGAGCGGCCAGCAGGGCAGCGATGGGGAGGGGCAGTGAGTGGCCAGCAGGGCGGTGGTGGAGAGACGCAGTGAGCGGCCAGCAGGGCAGCGATGGGGAGGGGCAGTGAGTGGCCAGCAGGGCGGTGGTGGAGAGACGCAGTGAGCGGCCAGCAGGGCAGCGATGGGGAGGGGCAGTGAGTGGCCAGCAGGGCGGTGGTGGAGAGACGCAGTGAGCGGCCAGCAGGGCAGCGATGGGGAGGGGCAGTGAGTGGCCAGCAGGGCGGTGGTGGAGAGACGCAGTGAGCGGCCAGCAGGGCAGCGATGGGGAGGGGCAGTGAGTGGCCAGCAGGGCGGTGGTGGAGAGACGCAGTGAGCGGCCAGCAGGGCAGCGATGGGGAGGGGCAGTGAGTGGCCAGCAGGGCGGTGGTGGAGAGACGCAGTGAGCGGCCAGCAGGGCAG